TACTGTAGGTTTTATTGTGGATTGCCTTTATCAGATTGAGAAGCTCCCTTCTATTCCAAGTTTAAGAGTTTTTATCATGAATGAATGCTGTATTTTGTTAAATGGTTTTCCTGTTCTATTGAGATGATCCTTTATTAATATGCTGTATTATATTGATTGATTTCAGATGTTAATCCTTTTGGTCATGGTCTATAACTTTTTTAAGGTGTTGATGGATTTGGTTTCTAACATTTTGAGGATTAAACCTAAAATCTTATGATCAATAAAAATGGGAATAATTTTACTACTTACTTCATAGGTTTGTAGCAACAATTAAATGCAATAATACCCATAAGGTACTTAGCAGTGTCATATGTGTAGTAAGAGCTCAGCTAATGGGAACCATGTTGATTATATCATTGACAATAAATATCTTTATATAATTACCTCATGTAAGATAATAAGAAACAACTGAATAAAACAAATTTATCTGCTTAAACCAGAGCTATGATACATTCATGGGTAGAGAAAGAAAGGTAATTATAACAATAGCTAACACTTGGCCATTATTTATTATCTTCTAAGCACTGTTTTAGACTCTTTATATGTATTAACTCAATCTTCCCATCGGTCTTGTGAGGTATGTACCATTATAGATGGGGAGGCTGAGGGCTTATATAACTTGTTCCAATTATAAAGATGTTGAAGGGCAGAGCTAGGATTTGAACACAAGCAGTCTGGCTTCAGAGCCGAGTTTTTTACAATTATGCTATATGCGATGCTTTGTGCTGATTACAAGCATTTTATCTAATTTACTCTTTGCCACATAGTGCATCAAAATATTCCCAATATATAGATATCCCAAGTTTGTTTCTTTTAAGAGTCTTGCTCTAAATTCACATGTGATACTGTGATATTTAAACCCAGGCCTGTCTGAGGCCTATGCATTTTCCACTTGTATTTTCCTTAAGTGTGTTTTTTAACTGATTCTCTCTTAGATAAATCAATTGGTATCTTTTTCTCCAAAACCTAAGAGCTGTTAGAAGCAATGACTAATATCGGTCATGCGTTTCCCTTGCTTTGCTAGGTGGAGATAGAAGAACTGACTCTTGCTTAGGTAGTGTCCAAATGAGCATTTGGCACAATAGTCTTGCAACAGGCAGCAGGCTCTCCAGTGTCATGGGTTTGTTGACCGCATCCCATAGGAAGAAAGATATTTTTCATCACAACCCAGTAGATATACTCACAGAGACACACATTATATTCCAAAAACAAGTTTCATAAACGATGTTTAGCCTTACAGCATTTATTCCATGTTATTCAATCTATTTTATTACTTGGAAAAACGGGTGCTTGTCTGACCTAGCCAAACCAATTTTACAATCCATTAAGGGGTTATGAGCCACAATATGAAAAATGCTGCATTAGAGAATATTCTAGATCTCTTCTGATGCTCAGATTCAGATTTATCTCAAGATGGCCACCATAAAACGGCTTCAAGCATATGAGTGACTTCTTTGATCTTATTTGGTAATCATGCTAATGTCTAAAAATTATAACAGACTGACCCAAACTTGTGTTTTACCCTTGCTTTTCTCTTTTTGTTTTTTATCTTATTAATTTACTTTTTTTTTTCTATAACTATTTGTAGAGTATACCTTTCAGATAGTGTACAGGAACTGAGCAGTCAAGGATGAGTAAAAGTAGGCATGCATTCTGATAGCATAGGAGGAACGAAAGCAGTTAATCCAAAAGCACACAGGAAAATATTTTCAAATTATGATAAATTCTGTGAACAAGAATACGGCATTGTATAGAATGAGGAGGCATGATTGAATATGGAGTGTGAGCAACAGCGCTGTGAGAAGTGACATTTGGACTGAGACTGAAAGAGGAATAGAAAATAACCAGGCAGTTGACAGCTTTGTGAGTGCAGGCACAGGTCACACCACATCACCAGCTTCCAAGGCTAGAGGGAGGCATGAGCTACTAGCTGAGGAATGAAACGATGTTAAACAATAGTCTGGAAAAGTAAACCGGACCGGACCATACAGGGTCCCATAGACCATGGAAAGAGATGAAAGGATTTTACAAGGCTGAATAACATAAGACTCACATTTTAAACATATCACTGGTGTGTAGAATGAACTGAAGATGTCCAAGATTGCACAACGGGAGCTATGAATAGCCTGTTGCGGTGGTCTGGGTCAAACATGATGGAGTGGTGGTCTTTTGTTACTTATTTCCTCTCTTACCGAGCATATTTTGCAATGCATTTCATATGCACTGCAACCAGATCTGTTAATTTTTGAGCTGTCAACTAAGAAATAAATAAGCCACGATATAGGATACCAAAAAAAAAAAAAAAAAGTTATGGAACCGCAACGGTAAGTCTATGTGATAAATGACCGAGGTACAAAAAAGTTCTTAATCTTTCATTTAAAAATATCAGATTATGATATGAACTTGAATATTCTAGTTATCACCAAAGTGCATTACACCCACATATTTTATTGTGGATAGTTCTGCAAAATAAATTGCTTTTCTTCTCTCCCTCTGAGAGTTTCAGATCTGAGATAGAGGGTTTCAGATCTGATATGCTGGAGGTGAAACATGATTTTTAACAGCCAAACCTGGCTCCATGGTTAAATAAGTTTATATTCATACTAGGCAAGGGAAACATGTTGCCTCTTGCCTTGGCTGCTTCTTCCTTTGATTAATAATCCCTTGCGTAGTCGAACATTGTTGTTATTTTGCCTCGATGGGCACTTTTTGGTCCGTTCTTTGAATAAAAATAGCTTAACCCAAGCTTCAATAAAATAAGTTGTTCCTTCGGGGTAAGTTTAATAAAACCCATGTTTTCCCCTTAAAATGAAGTAATGGGAGAGAGTCCTCTGGTCTGTCCCCAGATTTCTGCCTACCACCTGCCTCTTGTGTGGAGCTAAACACAGTCACAGCTGCTCTGTATCCTAACCTGGTCAGCGTAGGTTATTTCCATTGACGTTTAGATATGTTTACAGTTAACACTCCCTTCTCCCTTCTTTTGGTACCCGGTACTCATCCACCTCCACCTCTCTGCCTCATTCTCTGGCCATCTCAGAAGACCTTGCTCAGGTCCCATGAGTAATCACTGTTTCTGCTATATGAGCAGAGAGGATACTGGGGTGCGACAGGTCCCAGGCATGATTACATATTAATTAGCACCTTGCGGCTTCCCGAAAGACCTGTAAAACTCAACGAATATAATTGGCAGTGGTGCAGTTGGAAGGATTGTAACCCAAATAGCCCAAGTCCAGGCACCTTTCCTGATGCCCATTAAACCCATGGCAGAATCAACCATCATTGCATCAACACGAAGAAAATTATTTCCTAAAAGGCAACATCAAAGATGCATTTCTCAAATTTTTTACAAAGCACTTCCTGTGTATCTAAGTTCTCCCCCAAGAGCTTAATTGCTGACATTGTCTGTATGACTCAGTAGTCAGTGGTACACGCAATTTTACTTATTGAACAAGTAAACATCAGGGACAGTTAGCCTTCATTAGAATGTTACCGGCTCAGATTAATGCTTCATGAATTTTTTTCCTTTTGTTTGCAAGTCCCCTCCTTCTCCTTTAGCACAATGATCATTATAAAGAAGAAAATGTACTAAGTACAATTCTCCCATCATTGATATTCTACATTTGTTTTCTAAGCATGGGAATGTGTCACTAGGAATTGGTTTACATCCCTGGACACTACTTGCAGGCATTTAATTCCTGGATTCAAACAAAACTTTAAAATGGGATCTCAATAACATGATGTCAAAAGAAACATGTCAAAACAGTGCTGATACAGAGAGCTCTATTGTGACTAGAAATCATGTCTCTGCTTTGAGGGAAACAAAACAAATCTAGGTAGGAATGAATGTATTTTTACAGAAGGCTCTTTGCAAATGGCAGAGGCCAGATCTGCTCTCCTGTGGCTCATTTCCTCTTCTGATCCCTCCACCCCATGCTCCTTCAAGTGTGAAGCCCATGTCTGATCGTACATTCTACTTAAAACCCTTCAATGTCTCCCTGACACCTACAGACTCTGAATGAGCACCTGTCATGGGATCTGCCCACTACCTCCTCTCCAGGCTCAAGCTTCTCCATTATACCTGTTATTCCAGCAAATTCCCAAACTATTTTCTTTCCCCACTCAGCACTCTGTTGTTTAATATGTGCTACTTTTCTTCCTCAGATCTTTCTTTGGGACCTGGAGAACCATTCAGCTCAACCATTTATGGAGTGTTTGACCTTGTGCAAGTTAAACTTCCCTGGGCCTTCACTTCATCATTTGTAAAATGGGAGCACAAGAGCCACATCTGGGGCTGCAGAGGGCACACTGCAGAGTGCTTCAGAGCTGGCCCCGGGGAAGTCACTCAGTGGGAACATTAGCGTTATTAGCTTTATGTTTTAGTTATTGTTATTGTCGTCATCCTTTCAAATGGAGCTCAGGTTTTACCTCTGCTGAGCAGCCTTCCTGGAACTCTCCGTGCCTAAGACAGACAATTACTTCCTTGTACTCTGTACTATCTTCTTTATTGCCCTTTTTATGTCTTTCTTATCACTAATGTGGGACATGGTTTGTCATCACATTACTGGGCAATGAAAAAATGGGCATAAGGATGGTTTGAGGAGGCCTTGTAATTCATATTTTATGGACCTCCTACAACAGGATGGTTAGGATATGATCGTTAATGGTACGTGGATTAATGGGGTTTTCTTGATTTCCTAGGCTTTATAGCTTTGTAAGCTAACAGTTAATGGGTGTTTAACTATATGCCAGGCATGACTTAGATATTATACTTTATTCTTTGGTAGGATCTAATGTGATAGATACTCTTATTATTTTCATTTTATATATGTGGAACCTGAGGGCCAAAGTCAGACCTCTTAGCTCAACAACACTTGGGTCTGATCTGCAAGGTATCATTGGCCTTTGGGACTCTAGTGTGTAAATGTGTTGTATGCATTTTCATTTCCAATTTGTCGCAGGTACTCCTTCCAAGACGAGGAAGACATGTTCATGGTAGTGGACCTCCTGCTGGGCGGGGACCTGCGTTATCACCTGCAGCAGAACGTCCGCTTCCAGGAAGGCACTGTGAAGCTCTTCATCTGTGAGCTGGCCATGGCCCTGGACTACCTGCAGAGCCAGTGCATCATCCACAGGTCAGTCAAGTCCAAGGGCACAGCCTCAGGCTCCGTGCCCAGGAAGGAATCCACAATCTACCACATTCTACAGGTCCTCGTTGAACGTGGCATTTAATCCTTACCTAATTCTTACAACAGTCCCCTGAGGTAGGGTTGTTGTCCTTATTTTGCACTTAAAAAAGAAACTAAGCAGTCCTACCCAAGGTTACAGTTAGTAAACAACAAGATCAGAATCAATGAATATTGGTGATATTTTATTGCTAAGCCTACACAAAGAGGAGAAAAGGTGACATATAGAAGCTTAATAAATATTAAATGTGGGAATTAATTGAAATAGAAATTAAGGAACATTAGGGAATGGAAAGAAATAGAAGTGGGAAGGATGAAAACTGAGAAAATTTGAGTCCTAACATCTGCCTGTCATCCTCCCATACTGAGTCCCCACTGTGTGAGCTGCAACAGAAGTCAGCAAAAGCAACGTGTCTCCTCACTTGAGGCATTTAAATAAAGACAAACACAGTTGAGCCATGAACAGTGTCGGGGTTAGGGGTGCTGATCTCCCTCAGTCGAAAATCACACATAACTTTTGACTCCCCAAAACATAACTGTGGTCATCCCTCAGTGTCCACGGGGGGCTGTAGATGCTCAAGTCCTTATATAAAATGGCACAGAATAACTCATGCAGTCCAGCCTCCACATCTGAGGATTCCCAACTGAGGGGCAAAAATAACGTTTATGACCCATGGTTGGTTGAAATGGTAAATGCCAAATCCAAGGATAAGGAAAGCCTACTGTGTATTTACTGAGGAAAATCCACATATAAGTGGACCTGCATGGTTCAAACCTGTGTTGTTTAAGGGTCAACCGCAACATAAGTAGCTATATACCCAAATAGACAATAGAGAGAGAGTGATAATACTTTATATTTGTAAAGAATTAGGCAGTTTTAATGATGATTTCCAATAGAGTATCTCACTTGATCTCAGTAATAATTCGTGATAAGTGATAGAGCAGATACAGTTAGACTAGTATTAAATATGAGAAAACCATAATTGGGAGACATTAAATTAAAATCATCTAGGTTATTTATAAGAATTTTGAACCTAATCACTATCATAGCAGCTACTGTTTACTAATGACTTACCACACAGCAGGCACTGCTAAATACTTCCATATTTTATCTTAATAAATTCTAAAAACTCAAGAAGGACTCCCTCATTTCATTATAGCATCCCCACTCTACAGATGAAGAAATTGTGGCTAAAAGATTTACCAAAGATGGTTGATAAATGGCATTGCCAGATTTAAACCTAGTTATCTCTAATCCTAGAGTAAGAGCTCTGTCTACTATCCAAACTTGCATTTATTACACATATGAAATATATGTATTAATTATACACATCATTAAATGAAAAACCAGCACATGCGACTTTGCTACCGTCATCTCTAATCTTTAAAGAATTTACTGAGTTTTTAAAGTACAATTATGTCTTTTAGTAAAAATTTGGCTAAATATTTACCTGTGACTAATTGACATTTATGTTTATCTGGATTAGTGCAGAGCCTGTGGATAAAGATGTAGCATCATAAGTTAGAGATTCTTCATCCAGGCATCATGGACTTTTTTTTTTTTTTTTTTTTTTTTTAGTGTCGGTCCTGTACACTGACATAGTTAGTTATGACTTAATTTCTTATCTTTGGAATGGCCTATTTGTATTGGAAATGTGCTCTTCAGGCAACAGATGAATGAAAGCAGACCAGTGAATCATTCATAATGTAGATTCTCGGAAGCAAATTTACATGCCTGGTGTTCTGTCGATAACTAGGAATCCAGTTCACAAGCGATCTTTCCCTCATACTAGCTCCTATATTCGTTTCTGGTCTCCCACAGTTCTGAGGAGCCTATGGAGTCCCCCTCAGAGATGAATTGACACGTCACAGTCTGTTTTGGTTGTTGACGTTGTAGATCTCAGAAATGATGGCGGGCATGATGGGAAGCCAGCGTGGTAAGAGCCAGCCTGCTTCCCCTTTCCCAGTTTGAAACTGGTTCTGTGCCTTCTTTCTCTGGGCTTCATTTCCCCTGTCATCACAACAAGATGCTCTGAGCATTTTTAGAACTGTGTTCCAAAAGGAATTCAGAAGGAAAACGACCAAACCAAACCAAAACCTGATGTACTTAGTACCCGCAAGGAGCTTATGAACACCAAATGTCATTGTTCTGTTCTTCTCTCCCTCGTTGTTTATTACCCCCATTATCATTTTGCCACTTTAATAAGAAACCAAGAATTAACTTTCTGTTCTTTGTCCTTTACATACCCACAATCATATTACTTCATGCCTGTCTTCAAAAGGACCTCTTTGTACTGAAGTGTCTCCTTACCATGGCAAATGAAGTGAAAGCTAACTCAATGACATTTTGAATATTGTATTAAAATGAGATGACATCTCTTGGGATCAAAGAACAATTCAGCTGTAATTCTCTTGCCTACAAGGACCACCCCGCCTCCCCATGTGCTGTATTTTCTAGGCAGCTGTAGCATCTTGTACCTCTCCTGAGGAGTTGTGACATTCTGGGTGTTTAATTAATTAATGTCTGTCTGCTCCGCTAAATTGTAAACTCCTTGAGTTAGGGCCATGTGTGTGTTGTTTTTTACTGTATAATCAGTGTGCAGCAAAAAATGAAGGAATGAACACTGCCCGAACCACATGAACGACTGGTTGACTAGAAACCTAGGCTTATGAATAACAAAGACAAAATTTTGTTTTTTACTGTATAATCAGTGTGCAGCAAAAAATACGAAGGAATGAACACTGCCTGAACCACATGAACGACTGGTTGACTAGAAACCCAGGCTTACGAATAACAAAGACAAAATTGAAATATAGGGCATTCAAGCCAAAATTTTAGACCTACTTTGGTCTTCCCATTGGCTAATCTTATAAATCCTGAGAATGAAAGGAGTTGCTGTTGGTAATTATGCTGGGATAATAGGCCAAACTCAAAAATGTTCTGGGAAAATCAAGACATACATCAACATCACTAAGGCTTTCCAAGACAGCAGTGACCAGACGTCTTAACTGTGAGAGAGCTCTTACAACCAGGACTTTTCGCCCTCAGAGTAGCAGGTATCAATCTGAAGTGGTATCTGTTTGAAATGGTGTCAAATGGCTTAAAAACATGTATATGGTGAAAATAAGCAGTTTCTCTTTGTCTACGGCATTTAAAGGTTAACAAAGGTGGTGTTCTGAGGGTGGGGCTTGTGGGGCAGAGTTAAGAGCATAAAGAGCAATTTAGAAGAAGAGATGGAGGCTTCTAATTCTAAAATCTCTTTCTTCAAAAGAATCGGCAAATTCATACTGGATTCGACTGAATCTGAGACAACAAAACATCTCTTAGCTACTTAGAAGACTGGGTTGTAAGATACATTCTGAGTGCCAAGACATTAAAATGTGAGTGAAGAATAAGAATTGATGAAATACAATAGATCCCCCCAGACAAAGAAAGACCATTTGCATAAAACTGCAGCTATAAAACATGACCTCTAAATTCAAATCGTAAAAATAAACAAAAAAAGTAAATTGAGATTGGAACCATTTTGCCTTTGGACATGGTAGGAGATTCAAAATTGTCCAAAGCAGTCAGCAAATGCGTGTGGAGCAGGAGGCCGCCATTTACTGAGGGTTTCCTGGGCACTAGGCGCTCTGCTAAGCAATTGTGAATTATTTCATTCAATCTGCCCAAAACTCCGGGAGGTTGATGGTGTTATTGTCCCCATTTTACAGTTGATGAAACTCTGGTTCAGAAAGTAACTTAGCTAACAAGTAGGTCGGACATCACCCAAAGGAAGCGCAGAACTCTTAGCCACCCTACGGATATTGATGGAGCACAGTGGTAAGCCCGGAGCAGGACATGGTTTGTAAGCCATGACCACCTGCCTCCAGGTTCCCACAGTCTCTCTGCACAGGCGAAGATGATACATGTGGAACCAACAGATGACGGGACAGCCTAAAACTAGAAGCTAAATTATGTAAGATCAAAGTCATTCAGAGAAGATGATGATTTTGGATAACAAAACAAAGTTTCTTGAGAGCTCAGAGGGCTTAAAAAGGATCTTACTATCCAGCGCAGGAAGGAGAGTCTCGTCCTTGTAAGGGGAGCTAAATGAAAGTTCTCATTTGTCCCTCGGTGGTAACACTGAATGAGCTGTTTTAATTTTTTTGTTTGCATTGACTTTTCTGCCAGCCATGTCTAGCCTAGTTATTCTTTTAAACACCATAGGTCCTGTTTCTGCTATAAACTCCAAGTGAGACATAATGGGGTTTTGTTTAATTTTGTTTGGAGAATTTTTTTTTTAAATCCACAGACTTGAATTTTTTTCTGTACTTTCCTAAATACATGGACTGTTTAGCTAATTTTCCTCAATTTTAGAATTTTTCTTTTCTATACTCGTAAAAGACACAGGAATGCATAATGACCATTAATTTTGAATTGTACAATTAGACAGTTCTCTTGTTAGTCAAGAAGTCAAACATTTTACTACGAGTACAGCTCTGAAAATCAGCTTTAGCTTCCAAATTATGACCAGTTTCTAATTCAATATTCCCCTTTACTTACATTAAATCATTGAATAAAAATTTTTAAATGTGGACAAAATGAAAAAAAAAATAAAGAAAATAAAACTCATTACAATCCTTCTCATGGGACGGTCCTATTTGATTTGTGGATTGCCACAGTATCAGCAGTGAATAATGTGATGGAAAGCATTTATTACAGTCCAAAACAGTTTGTATTCACTCCCTTGTTAGATGTTAAAGAAAACTCAATTATGAATTTAAGCTAATGAGAAGAATTCTATGGGACAGTTAAAGAGTAAATCGTCTTGCATTAAAATACCAGTCGAGTGTGTTTGATTGTTTCTTTCTCTAAGAATCAGCCCCACTCTCCAAAGTTTAACTTACCACTTTCTAAATTCCTATAGGAATATGATAAAAACCGAATTAGGCAATTTGTGTAAATA